GCCCTGGCCCAGGCTGCCCAGGGCAGGGGCTGAGTCCCCATCTCTGGAGGGATTTAAAAACTGGGGAGATGTGGTGCTGAGGGACATGGGTTAGTGGTGGGCTTGGCAGTGCTGGGTTAACGGTTGGACTCGATGATCTTAAAGGTCTTTTCCAAATTTAACGATTCTGTGATTCTATGATGGTTCCTCACGAGCCCTGGTGTTTGCAGGCATCTCGTTGCATGTGTTTGCCTCGAGTCAAAGTCTATGAAGTGAGGAGACGAGTGGGTCTGGATTTGGCACGTACCGTGGTGGTGGCAGAGGGAGAAGGCTGAGGCATAAAGGATGGGTCTGGCGGGACGGTGTTTGGCTGTGCATTAGCAGGATTCAAGTTCTCCAGCTGTTTGATAATGTATCAAGTCAAGGGGAACAAATTTCACAAAGGCACCGGCTCTCAGAGGACTCTGCCAAACTGGTATTGCTCTCCGTGGACTTTTAAAAATAAATTCCTTCCTTGTGAACTTGACAAAGTGCAGTTTTATCCTGACTGGGGCTTTGTACGCATGGCATACAGTGGGTCGTTGTGACTATGCTCCTGGAGTGAATATACTTTTCTAGTCAAGCAAATCAAGTTATAATTAGAAAACTTATAAAAGAATTTTGGAGAGTCCGATTAGTCTCTGCCTTGCCTCTTCAGGTCAAGCGGGAGGGGAAAAAACAGTCAAGACTAAGTGTTTGAGCCACTGGGTCTGACTGCCAGTGCTTGGGGGAAACTCATCTGGGGAGGGAGAAAGCTGATACAACCACTCTTCTCATTTTCATGTATTTCTGTGTGGATCTCTGCAGATTGCTGTCCCCCAGATAAAAATTTGCAAAGTCTTTAGTTTCCTGAGATAGCAGCTGCTGGACAATATCACCAGGCTCATGTAGCTGGGGAAAGGGGGCAATCAAGTGTGTTTGGAAACACCAAAAAGGGGCTGCAGTTTGGAATTCACAGAAAGGAATTTGTCTTAATTTGAAATAGAGCTTCCTCCCATCATCTCGGCATCTGCTCCCAACAGAGCCGTCTTTGGCTGTGTGCTTTGTGTCAGCAACGTGCTCCCCAGGAGGAAGGAGGTGTTTCTGTACGCTTGCAGCCTGTATTATGGCCATTGCGACGCTGGGCCTAATGGAGAAGGAGGAGAGAATCACGGAACCACAGGATGCTTTGGGCTGGCAGGGCCCTTTCCAGGCCATCCCCTCCATCCCCCTGCCATGGGCAGGGACAGCTTCAACCACATCAGGGTGCTCAGAGCCCCGTCCAGCCGGGCCTTGAAGGTTTCCAGGGATGGGGCATCTCCCACCGCTCTGGGCAACCCC